TATATTAGGTTTGTGCAAAGTATGTAACATACAGAAGGAAGCATCTCCGACCCCATAAAGTATATATATTCTTGATCAGCATGACGAGAGAAATCGATCTAGACGTGTCCGTCCGTCTGTCCGTCCGTCTGTCCGTCCGTCTGGATGAACGCGAGGATCTCAGAAACTATAAAAGCTAGAATAACCAAAGTTGGCATCCAGATTCTCCTAGGTCCGAGTAAGGACGAGTTTATTTTTTATTTTTTAATTTCCCCCCCCCCTTCCCCCGCTACAGAATTTCGTCAATAGCGTCCACATTTCAAATGCTACCTAAACCAAACTTTGCACACATAATTTATATATAATTGTCTACTGTTGCTCATTCATTGTTGTTCATTGTTTTATTCAATTCGGTCAATTCTAAGAAAAGTTATTAGCGAAACAAATTCTCTCCAGTACAACCCCCCCAAACTGCAGCAACAAGTTCGCTCTTCTTCTTCCTCTTTTTGTTGCTGCTATGGGCGCATATAACTCAGTGACGGAAGTTTACCTGGGTACAGGGTATTACACTGTCGGGCTTGCTCGACTGTAGCGTTCTCTCTTGTTTTAATTTGGAATAGAAACATATAGCCGGTGATAGACAAAGCTTATATTATTAGAGCCTTAGATACTAAAAAAGTTCTTAGCAAACAAATATGGAGGTTACTCATTCTTTCTCTACGGAAAACTATATATTGCCAGGAGAGCCAGGTATGGTAGTTGGTAAGACATTAAAATACATCCTGAGACATTATATTAGCATTACTTCGTGTTGGTAAATAACTGTTTTTGTTTTTTTTTTTTTACATGAAACCGGAAAGGCTGTTGATAGTCAATATGAATTTCCTTTGCTTGTTACTCTATTTTTAGGAAAAACTAACCTAGTTTGATAAACGTTAATTCATCAAGCGCCTGCGTGCTGCGATGTGAGCTTGCTGACTTGCTGATTTTTGGTCGCTATTTATAATACCTTGACTCTTCATTATCTGAGATTTAGCAACTACTTGCAGTTCATTGCAGTTGCCAGTCGTCGTGCAGCAGCAGCAATTTTTTGCACGTCGCGGCCACGTCGACGCATTTTTCTTGGCAAACGCATTTATATTGTGCATTTGTTGCTGCCTGTATCTGTATCTGCAACTGAATTCGCACTTGTATCTGTGGCCGTCACTCTCGCTGCCGCCGAGTGCCATACTTTATATCGTCGCCCATTTGATCAACTCTGGTGTGCAAGGGACTCGAATTGAAATTTATTTGTAATTGCAATTTGCATGAATCGTCGTTGCGACACTGGGACGGTCGGACCTTTGAATGCTTGGACAGATAGACGGTGGAACGGTACGACGAAGGGACAGTGGGAATGCTCCGTTCGGTTCTTAGCAAAATGTTGTGGGTAATTCATCTTTATTTCGTTGCGGTTCGAGTTGAAATGCGGCGCGGTATGCAGCCGCGACACCGCCACACCCGAGCGGTGGCTATTTTGAAATTGTCGTCGCTGCGGTCGCTGTGCTAAAAATGTTTCAAATGCTTTTCAAACCAAACCGAACAAAATACAACCAAACGGCAAGGCGCACGATGCTCAGTATGGTAGCTGAAATATTTTTCAAGCACTGCACTTAAAGGCCGCAATCCTTTGTTGTTGGTGCGCCCCGTCTGCAGCTTAGCCATCCAACCATCTAGCTGCACATCCATCAATCAATCATTTTTGCGGCGGTGTAACATTTTCGGGTTTCGGGTTTTCGGCTGTTGATTGAACAGCCTCCAGTGCTAGGAATTAGGCTGCTACTTCCCTTTAAAAATTTTCTTGGCGTGTGGGCGTCGAAAGAAAATCAACGTGCACCCAAAAAACTATACATAATAAATACATCACTTTTTACATACATGTTAATAATAAACGACAGACCTGACGGAAACAAAAGTTCAAAGTGTTGTACGTGTATGTGTGTTTGTGACTAATACTAATATGCCGAAAAGTGTAGATTTGATTGAAATAACTCTGATATAAGATTGATGTAACTTCGCTGTAATTAAACTTGGATGATGTTGAAAAATGATCATTCAGGACAGTCCATGTAGTGGCGAAAACATCCGCTATTAAATATTAAAGCTAAGTTTGTGTTTTTTATTGGCTGTACAGGTATCGGGAAGCACACTATAAAAATTTGTTCTTGAATAAGTTAACCATAACAATATTTATTGGTGTTTAAATGACTTATGACTTTTAATATAGAAATACGCTTTGGGGTGTTATATACAGGATATACACGACAAGATCATTTTTGAAAAAAAATTTTACAAGAGATTGAACAAAATATATATTTCTATCTGTTAGACATAGGTCTTTTGGCACAATAATGGTATTTAAAATTTTGTGATTCGTAGTCTATTTTTCTATGCGCACAATCGAACGAAATTTTGTAAGTGACTCGTTATTTCGCCACTAGGTTTCTTACCTCGTCAAAAGGTATTTTAGATTGTTATGAGCAGAGATACAACCGCGACGTAAGTTTACGCAATTGAAAGCGTCTATCTATAGATCTGTGTATGTGTGTACATAGGACTTTTATACAAGGTTCGTTCCAAAGTAAACATGAAAAACATTCAAAGAGAAATGCAAGCAGAACAATAATTTGGGCAAACTCAATTTATTATATTCATACGTTGATTTGCACGTTCTAAAAGCATGTCGAACGATTAAAAAACAACAACAAATCGGTCACAAATTTTGATCCCAATTTTTGGTTATCAGTCAAGAAACGAAACTAATGCTAAGGCTTTATACAAGATATACAAAATTCACTTTAAATTTAAAACGCTCTGTTGAATTTTAACTATTTGGCTTTAATGAATTAATTTTTTTTTTAAGAATTTAGCTACTCGCATTGGAAGTTTGCCTAAATTTGAACTTTAACAAGCGGAAAAGCCAAAGTCGTGTGTTACGACTTCGAAATAATCTGTACTAATGTTTAGAAATTAAAAAATGTAAAAAATAGTAAACAAACCTCTTTTGCCATTCGAACTCACGTAAAGGGTGTGTAACTGACAATAACATAAGAATTGTGTCTATGCAATAACAAGAACAGCTGCGGGCAGTGCTTGAACATTACAGATGTGGAGATTACAAATATGGTTATAACTATCTTTAAAGTCATAATAAAATTTGGCAAACGGAAATTTAAATGAAATAGTCCAAGAATTACGGGAGTTTTATAAAATTACTAACCGCGGGGGAAAGGGACGGAAAATACATAATGTGTTTTGGAACAAAAATTTGGTGTCCCTAGATATTATAGTCTCTCAGATATTGGCGATTATACGAACGGCGTTTCCGAAAAACTCATGGGGGGGGAAGTTTAGGGTTATTATAGGAGAAATATTTCTCAACTTATTACAAACATTTGCATCTTATACTTTGATAGAATAGAATTTCCCCATAATTTGCCTATCTGATAACATTAGCGACTTTTGGTGTCAAGCCTATGGAACTAGTAAGAGCTGTCGGTCATTCGTCGGAAGCCTGTACAGTGCCACCTTTATTTTGGTACCACACGAGAAAATATTATTCTGTTTTTTTTTTTTTAAATAAATATGTTTTATCGGATCTTTCGCTTTGCCAGCCATTGATTGACATATGAACGTGACATACAAGTTTCACCTAAATTCCCTAATTATTTATAGCTTAAAATAATGTCGGCTTGCAGTGCGGTTTCTGCTCTTACTGCCCGAAAACTATTTGAATTGTATAAGTATTTTGCTGACAGTGTCAATTAACATTAAAAAAAATATGCAAATGTTCACTGTTGACTTATTTTTGCAACCGGCGACAAGGTAAACAATGACAAATATTGGCAAAAATGTTGTTGGCATAAATATTGTCATTTGAACTGATTTGACTAAATTTCTTGGGTTGACTCAAGCGATCGGAAATTCTGCAGACGATTTGTTGAATCTACTCATGAAATTTGTACAGGAAATATTGCATTTCATCATTATTCTTCTTAACAATTATTCAAGCCATCATCATTATATTTCTCGTAAATTTTTATACTCTGCACATGAAATGTACAAGAGTATATTAAGTTTGCGGGAGGTGAGAAATGTAACTGGCAGGAGGCGTGGCAGACCCCACAATGCATATATATTCATGATTAGCCTGACAAGACGAGTGGATCTATGTCCGTCTGTCTGTCCCTTTACGTGAGTTTCAATACCCAGGTAAATCGATCAAATATTTGTATCCTTTTTCTTTTTTAAATTTTCCTAATTTTTATACCCTGTACCCGTAGGGTAAAAAGGGTATATTAGGTTTGTGCAAAGTATGTAACATACAGAAGGAAGCATCTCCGACCCCATAAAGTATATATATTCTTGATCAGCATGACGAGAGAAATCGATCTAGACATGTCCGTCCGTCTGTCCGTCCGTCTGGATGAACGCAAGGATCTCAGAAACTATAAAAGCTAGAATAACCAAAGTTGGCATCCAGATTCTCCTAGGTCCGAGTAAGGACGAGTTTATGTTTTTTTTTTTAAATTTTCCCCCCCCTTCCCCCGCTACAGAATTTCGTCAATAGCGTCCACATTTCAAATGCTACCTAAACCAAACTTTGCACACATAATTAATATATAATTGTCTACTGTTGTATAAAATTTTATTCAATTCGGTCAATTCTAAGAAAAGTTATTAGCAAAACAAATTCTCCCCAGTACAACCCCCACAAACTGCAGCAACAAGTTCGCTCTTCTTCTTCCTCTTTTTGCTGCTGCTATGGGCGCATATAACTCAGTGACGGAAGTTTACCTGGGTACAGGGTATTACACTGTCGGGCTTGCTCGACTGTAGCGTTCTCTCTTGTTTAAATTTCTATTATTGTTCTACACATATTTACTGAGTATTTTAAAGTCGGGACACCCAACTTTAGCTTCTCTACTTGTTCTATAATAAGTAATCGTAGAAAATGTAATCATATGTAGTCGTCAACAACAGATCTAAATAAGCAAGTGAAAGCTATAAATATTTTCGAATTTTAAACAAATTTATTAGTACTTATATTAAGATTTTACATTACAAATTATCTGCAAAATGTTATCAATGGAGCGGTAACTATAATAAAAAACAAATATTTCAACTGTAACGGCCCCAAATTGATAAAATTTATAAATTTTTCAGTATTTTCGAATTTCTACAAAAATGTTTCTTGGTCGGTGAAGATGTGTGCAGGGTGTGTTATAAAAACAAAGTCTACCGCATGCTAGCTAAGGGGTTTCTTCTATTTTGCATTGGCGCTTGTTTGGTAAAGGATATGGAAGACCACTTTATGTGGCCTTTGATCTAGGAGTGGTCAAGTTTCGGATATTATTTAGCTTATCCAGCGACTATACGTTTTGGTTAATACAAATTTTTAGTGCAAAATGTGCAACCATGTGTAAACAAAACCAATAAATCGATTATAATGCCCACCCAATTCACCACTACAATTAATACATAGCTGCAACTCACACCTTAAATACTTCTTATATCTGTTTACATGTAGATATATAAAAATATGTATATACTATATTACTCTTTACAGTCAACACAACAACAGAATCAGCAGCAAGCACTTATGAACAAGTCAAATGACGACCTACGGAGAAAGCGCCCCGAGACTACACGGCCAAATCATATTCTACTCTTCACCATAATAAATCCTTTCTATCCCATCACAGTTGTAAGTACACATACAAATACTTCTTGACTATAATTTTGTAGGATGTTTAACATTTGTTTATAAATGCATAATGAGTTGGTATAATACATTTAAAAACCGTCTAGGCGTTGAGAAATCGCGTCACCCAATAAAAAAATATATATTTTATTGATTCCCCGTGGGACTACAGTGGGACATAACTTTGCTAGCGCTACCGCTCTAGACAAATTTGGTTTGTAATCAAGCATCATGCTCTCCAGATTCGTTGCACGGGTAAATCCGTTGGTTGTGCCACGAGCTGAACGGTCCAAAGCGTATTTGGGATGAAAAAATCAGCCAAATCTAGCCTTCCTGTCTTCTGTTTTAGCCGCTACACTATATTTGCTGCTCAATTTTGTATCCTCCAAAGGCTGCTTTTTATACTCTGAACATGAAATGTACAAAAGTATATTAGGTTTGCGGGAGCTGAAAAATGTAACAGGCAGAAGGAGGCGTGGCAGACCCCACAAAGTATATATATTCTTGATCAGCGTGACAAGACGAGTCGATCTAGCCCTGTCTGTCTGTCTGTCTGTCTGTCTGTCCGTCTGTCCGTCCGTATGAACACCTGGATCTCAGAGACTATAAGAGATAGAGACACCAAATTTTGCACAAAGATGCGTTATGTGTGTATTCTATACGAGTTTGTTTTATTTTTTTGATTTTCCCCTCCACTTCCCCCCTATGGGGGTTTTCGCGATTTTCCATTCGTATAATCGCCTATATCTCGGAGACCATAAGACCTAGGAACACCAAATTTTAGTCCAAGGTGCCTTGTGTAAATACGCAGAAAATGTATATTTTGGAATTTCCCTCTCTCCCCCGCAAATGCGATTTTCTCTAACTCCCGTAATTCTTGGAATTTCGAACTAACATTTTGCAAATACCCCCAGTTAGTAATTATGTGTCCGTATGCCAAGACCGATTTACCAAGAAGTTATAGCCATAAATATATTTGCTGCTGCAGCGCTGCTCAAGCGCTGCCCGCGGCTGTTGTTGATGTTGCTGTTTGGTTGACTGCGAAAATGCTTACACAGACACGAATAGATGCGTATAGGCATACATACACTCACACAGACGCAATTGCTATGTAAATGTGCAATTATACACCCTTTACGTGAGTTGGAATACCGAGAAAGGTAAAATCGATCATTGAATTTTTTTTTATTTTCTATAATTATTGTATACATATGTACAGAGTATTTCAAAGTCGACACCCGACTTTAGCTTTTTTACTTGTTTAATTTCGGAAATAGAAAACAACAACCAAGATATATAATAGAACTGGTTTTATTATTTTTCAAGATATTCTCAAAGGAGATCAATGCACTTGTGTATTCGCTGTAACAATTGTTCATAACTTTTCATTTCTACTCTAAAAACTGTTTATGGCCATAACACAATTTTTTACAAAGTTTTGGATCTAAGATTTGTAACCATATTTGTTCCCAAACTTTTAAATATAACACTTAAGTTAATATTAATAGTTGATGGTAGCTTAAAATAATAATAGGACCCTAGTAAACAGTATTTATTATTAGACGAGCTTTACGAGATTCGTCCCGAAGTGAAGTACGTCCTCCTTTGAAGTAATTCTGCTTCATATCCAAAAATTCAAATAAGACGATCGGCGCACTCCTGTTGAGGGTAACGGATTTGAATTTTGTGAAAATATATTAATAGTTTCATAGAAATGTACGGGTCAATTAGATCTATTTTCCGATAGAAGCTTTTCAAGTTGCGTTTTGATTATTTTTACGCTAAAATGCTAATTTTCAAGATCCAATGTTAAATGAGTTTTGCCACACAGTTACTTAGCTTTATTCTCACATGCGAGCAGAACGTGAAACGGAAGAGAGACATAAATAATAGCGTGTGGCAATCGCCCAAACCTCAAACAACGTTTTGTGTGAGTGCGAAAGCGAGTACAGGCTTTCGAGTTTATAGAGCTTGATCGTAATATTTAATATGGTGGTCTCGCTATCAGAGCGGCAGCTGTTGGTATTTGATACTTTTTAGTCATAAGCAGGGAAATTTATTTGAAATGCAGCTACAAAAATATATTCAAACAACACATGGCCCATGTATTTATTCAGTAGTTCTCCGAACTAGTAAAGTGGTTCCAATCACCTGGGTCTTCTTCTGAGGGAGTTATTTTCATCACTGGAAAAAAATTATAATAGAGAAGTCGAAGTCTTCATGTACGAGTATCTCACCATAATTTTTTGCTCGCAAAAGTTAACGAATTCAAATATTTGCATAATTTGATGTATGAGGATCATTGCATTTCAAAAGCATGCTATAGGTTGGGATTTTCAGGCGACTATTATAATGAGAGAGTCATTAATCAAACTCCGTGTGAACCAATTTGAAGCCCTTTACTGAAAAGTATAGGGCTATTCTCGTATTGGTTTTCGTGTGTGCGCGTTTTTTGAACCCAGAGTCCATTACATTCCATGAAATAGGAACTTACTAAAATTATTCAAATCTCGAACAAAACAAAATGTACATGACCCAATCCAAACATAAATTTATCCAGTATGTAGCAGGGAGAAGAAAGCGTCTCCGAGTCCAGCAAGCACGACGAGCGAAATCGATCTACCCATGCCCGCCCATGCATCCTTGTGGATAAACGCCTGGATTTCAAATATGTATGTATGCATAGTCCGTAGGCGTTGCATTTGCACTAAACTCTTGGGTGCATAAGATAAAAAACCATTAATACTATCGATAGTGCTATCGCCAGAATATCTGCGACGGGCAGTTGTCATTTTTGCGTCTGTGGCGCGCGGGTATTTATACATGTGCCTAAATATGTATAGTATGAATACTATATAGCAGTGGAAGCCAGCGGCAATATGAGAAAGAACAAAAAATAACAGAGTTGAGAGTGGAACAGAGTGCTTAGCTAGAGTGCATTGTTAGACGTGCAATAACCTACAATAACAGCAGCAACAATTGCATGAACAATGCGTTCGCTTGTGCAGCTACAAAAAGTGAAAAATGCATAAAGTACTCAAGTGTTGGCCATGTTTGAAAAACGTTAGAGTCGCAACGACGCACATAACATTTTTGCACCACACACGCATACCCCTGTATTTTTAGCCCACCGCTACACACTGACACAGTTTAGTGTCTTTTAGTTACTGTTACTACAACATTCAACAACAACGGGGCTATGCGGAAATGCATTTTTTCATGATGTTTTGTACTCAGGCAATTGTATTTTCCAACACTTGAGCCGAAGGTAGTGGGATATAAAATCCTGTGAAGAGGAAGACATGAAGGATAAAAACTTAAAATTGCGTAGCAAGCAACAGGAAGAGAGGAGACAGGAGAGTCATGGAGAATGGCAAATGAGCGCCAGATATGTTAATTCATTGCAAGGAAAATACCTGCTTGTACGGTTGCTTGGCCGAATTGTGACTATCTTTGTCAGATTGACAGATCTTCCTTTTAAGGAACATCGCCAAAGGCTTACGTAAATCCTTGCCATAAAGTTCAACTTGTCGGATTTTCGAGTATATGTCCTTGCCGAATACTCTGGCATAAATCGTTGTTGATTTAAGGCGCCAGTGCATTTGCTGCTGAAGAGTTGAGGATGGCAGTGCGAGTGCCAAGTGTGTTATGGACATTTACGTTATGTAATCGATCAGTGTGCCCGTGCCGTTAGCCACATGTATAAATGCGGCTACGTGCCATGTACTAACCCATAAAATGCTTATCATCTTGCGTTTGAAAGTTAAACTGATTATGTATCCCTGTACCTATGCTAATTTGCAATTATGTGTATACCTTTATACAAGTAGTAGCTTATTCCGATTAAAAGTTATAAATTATGAATTGAATTGAATAATTGCCACCTTTGAAAGTTAAACTGATTATGTACCTGTACCTATACTAATTTGCAATTATGTGTATACCTTTATAGTAGCTTATTCTGATTAGTTATGAATTGAAGCTATTAAATGCATTTTATGTCAACATACGACTTGTCATGATTAGATATACTTGTATATATGATCTACGTGGCCGGATATGCTTCATTCTGCTTGCTACATACTTTGCACAAACCTAATATACCATTTTACCCTCGGGTACAGGGAATAAAATTCAAAATAATTGCCTATCTGTTTGCTAGATTAATGTGATATAACCTAATAGATTAAGTTCTCGCACACACATCAGGAAAGTAAGAATGTAATGTAAGAAGCAGTGTTTGGTAAACTTGCGGCACAAATTGATATCAGATTCTTACCTTGTTAATAGGTTTTAGTCTTTTTTATAATAAATAATAATCAATTTTATATACGTACTCGTATTTACTTATATACATTTAGATCATCAAAATGTTGCTCATACTACGTATGCCTTAGTTAGGTGGAGTTCGCTTTATATGAGCGTCAAGCTTCAAACTTGGGCAGTGCAACATGCCTGCTTTTCATCACACGCCCGAGCTGCTGCTTAAGCTAACTAATCGCAAACTAAACGTCCTCTAATAGCTGCTTCAACTTTTAACAACATCTACACACGCCCACTACTCACACACGTGTTAAAAAGAAAAGAACTGTGAATTCAGAGCAAAACTTTTTTGAGCTACTAGCCTCACTCATTTCCGGCTGTCAGAGAATTCTATCAAGCCACAGTCACTGAAGCGAAACAAAAAAGCTGGATAAGGAGATAAGACTGAAAACTTTTTAATAAGACACACTAAAAGCATCAAAGAAATTTTGCTGCCACTGATGTTGTTCTTATTGTTGCCATTGTTGTTAGTAGCTCCATATGTGCTTGGACAATGTAGTGGGAGATGCAAAAGCGAAAGTTTGCCGAATAAGTCAACTTAAAGTTTTGCCGTCACTTAGTTTAGCTAGCTAAAGTTGTTGTCAGAATGAACAAAATGGAAAAATGCAATAAAAGTATTAGTAACAGGCACAATATTGTTCAGTGATATATTAAGCTCATGTGTGGGGACCATTCTATCCACCCACAGAAACAAGCCAGCAATGCAGACTTAATACAAAAACAGAAAAACATCAAGAGGAACAGCAATGTCGCAACGTTTGACTTGGCATATGTAAATCCTTTTTTGAAACGGCTTATCAGAATGATGTTCGACTTTGTTAGGGTACGGTCGGACGTGGAAATTCTTCGCATGCAAACTCCCAAAAGCTTTACAAAATGAATTGCAGCAAATCTGACTGTCTAATTATTTGTGTGCAAACGCTTCCGGAAACTCTTTAGCTCGATGGTATTTCAAAAGTTGGCAAAAAAAAAAAACAAATTCATTAATTCATGTGGAACATATTTGTGCATTATCGACAAAAATCAAATGCTTAGCTTGAAGTTTCTTCACATCCCCGTATGTGTTTTGTTAGCACTTTTAGTTTCCCGTCGGGACGGCAACGAACGCCCACAAATGCTCCTCTTTTTCCCCCTCCATTGCATAAAGAGATGCTGCTTCATGCCACAAGTTTACTATAGTTTTGCCATTCAGTTTTGCTTACCACATTAACAATGCGTTTAAGTGCTGTTTAACATCTGTGTATGGCACCCAATGCAAAACATTTCCATACGCAAAATTGATTTGGCAAATTTATTTACTGCAGGCTGCAAAATAAACCATGAGTTTGTCAAATCATTTGGAAGTCTGACCTAACCTTCCCGCTCGTGTGTTCGTGAGGCACGCCGGAATGCATCCTGGTTTGGATGGCAGCGTAGCAGGGGCATAAGCCATAGCCAAAGAATGCATCGCATGTTTTGCAATAAGTGACAGTAGTCTGATGTCAGTTGGAAGCTGGTGGCGAACCGCTGGGGCCATAATACAACGGTGTCCCCCTTTTCCTCCCGCCCTTCAGCAGCAGGCAGGAAAAGTAACGAAGGACACACGAGTAGTGCAGACAGCGGTGACGCCACTGACGCCGTTGCCACCAAAACAGAAAAGCCTGAGGCTGCACGTACCATTAAAGGCTGGTGCGCTGCAGTGTGATGGAATGTGTGGGATATGATTATGGTTGCGGGTGATGCGGACTTGCCGATTTTGCATATGCGCGTTCGGGGCTTCAGCCTGGGGCTTTACTTATCAATAATGCCTCCAAGTTGTAAGGTACCGCATATTGTGTAGCATTTTATTTATGCAAGCGTTACAAAGGATGCTGAAGGAGGTGAGAGGCCGGTGATAGATTATGTCAGCCTCTGTGCCCTGGAGAAATCAATGAGTCATTTCGTCAGTGAGGACCTTTTATGAAGGTACTAGGCATTGAAAAATCTTTAGAAAATTATAAATATAAATATGTACGCTTTCAGAACAAATTACATAACTACTATAGTCTGACCGTATGCCTCATTTACATACAAGTATATCAGTGGAATATATTGTAAATATCCATTAAAGAAAACAAAAATCGTGTGAGTAAATCAATTATTGCGACAGATTTATTGGTGCTCTACAAGTATTAGTCGCAACTTTTTTTTTTAGTATGTTGTACAACAAGTTAGGAAACTTTCTAATGTCGTTCTTTGACAAATGCCCTGCCTGATACATTTGATTAAAAAGCTGTAGGAAATAAACGTATTATATAAGAGTAAATATTTTAAAACCCTGCGCACTCACCACCTTTCTGATCTGCCAGCCTTCCAATTCTATGCTACGTTCCATTCGCCACTGAAGCTGTTTCTTCTCATCTGACTCGATTATAGGCACGGGCTGCCAATTCGCCTCTTGACTGCTCTGAGTACGCCTAAGTCTTTTTCTGCGTTTTGGGGTCCTCGAGTGGATCGATTGAGTGGTGGAGCTAGAATATAAGCTCGAGCTTCCTTTCAATGTTTCATATTTCGGTGCGGTCATTGTTTGGCTGCGACTTCGCTTGATGACATTTTTGGTTCTCTGCTTTTCTACGTCCTGACGGCTACATGTGCTTTTCGCACGTCGTGTTTTCCTACTGACTACTAATGCGGTTTCCTCTCTTTCACTTTTATTTAGTCTCTTGATCAATTTTGTATCCGAATTCTTTGCGTTAGAATAGACAGGAGTCGCTGGCGGTTTTATCGCGTGTGTCTTCATGAATAAGACGTCGCCCTGGGCATCGAGGTCTAGTAAATGTTGTCGGCGAGACTTACGCCGTCCATGTCGCCCTTTACGTCCTTTGGTAGGCTTGCGCTGCGGGGTGACTACATCGCTCTGCCGTTGTAGAGTCTGCCAGATGCCCAATCTCTCCTTGGACCCGTCCCGCAGCAATAGCTGCTGCTTCTGCTCCATGATCTGCTTAGCTATAAACGCCTGTTTGCAGATAAGTTTGCGCTTCTTTCGAGCCTGTTCCTCCTGCTCCAGCAAACTTTGACGCAGTTCCTCATTAGCCTTGGAAAGTGTTCGCGCTCCCACCAACATAGGTTTCATACGCGCTAATTTTTTCTCGATCCAGTCCAGGCCTCGTTTGGTCAGCAACTCCGTCTGCTGTTTGGCGCTGGGGCGCGAATGCTGCTCTGCGACGCGGCGCTGCGGCGCAATTGGGTTTTGTTGGCGCTGTTCCTGCTGCTGCTGCAGCTTGTGTTTCTCTATTTGTATGCGTGTGAGCTGTTCTCGCTGTCTACTGGCTGCTGTGTCGGCGAACATAACGATCTGCTTGGTCTGGTCGTAAAATTTGCAATAGTAGTTGGCCTTGTCCGAGTCCGAAGGTGGCATGACGCGTCTATAGTTCCCTAGGTGGCTTTCCTCCCAGGCAATCTGCTGGGCTAGCGAGCCCATCGAGCACGCTTGCTTCACCTCGTGCTTTTGATTCTGTTCCTTGGTCGCTGGTAACGTTGGGATTCTATTCCGGCGATTGCATACCTGACGCATCAGACGCTTTCGCATCTCGGCACGGTCCTCCCGTATGATCTGTTCTTTGTCTACCAACACCGTAGCCAGCAAATTGAGCGTGTCACGTATGAGTGGACGCTTTACATCATGATCAACTGTCTCATCTGCAGCCAGACTGGGCGCATGATTTACTTCTAGTATGTAAGGCTTCAGCTTCCAGTCTACCAAAATATCAAAACCGAGCAGCTGGAAACTCGCCTGAATTTTGTCGTGACGCGGAAAACACGCATGATAATTGTGCCTAAGAACCGGCCATGCGCTGATAACTGTCTTGATAATGGCGTCGTCGACGCTGGCCCAGAATTCATCTACATCGTAGTTGTGCTCCCTAAGCCACTTGTTGAAGCCACTAAGCTTGCGCTTACTACCGCAGTCATCACCGCGACCTATCTCGTATTGTGAGTTGCGCCGATTAAGGCAATAGTTCGTAAGGTGCATGAACAGGTTGTCGCTGTTACCTAGGGTCGGAGCTACGTACTTGTTAGTGGCAAAGCGCGCTAACCCTTCGTTGTAGACAAAGATACGCAGTGGGTCCACCGAGGTGACCAGTGTGTAGACGCGCAGATCGAACTTGTAGCCATCGATGAGGAGCGGCTGGTGGAATGAACGATTTATAAGGACTTTGAAGTGAGCGGAACATCCCTTCCTTACCTTTTCTATATAGGTCTGACAAATAAGCTTCTCACGCTTGCCCACCGTACTCAGATCATTAGTAAGCCAAATGCCTCGACCCTGTCCCGCTGAATACGGCTTCAGGATGAATGTGCGCCGATGTTTGCTTGCATATAAAGCCACGTCATAAACACTAACAAAACACAAACGTTTTAAAATCATAATGTGATCAAAGTATTGGTAGTAAAGGTTGATATAAGATGTTTTCTATTCACGTAATTGCTTACAACCATTCTATATGTCCTTGGACGCTAAATGAACCAGGGAGTAGTAAAAAAGTGTTAGTCCCGATTCCCCAATATCAAGAAATCAATAGTATTTTCGAAAATTCATTCAAACCGTAATGAATCCCATTAGGGTCAACTTATTTGAAATCTTGAATTATAAATTCTAAATGTTTCTTTATTTCGTTAATATATTTTATTGTGATATATTTAAAAATTCATATTTTCTTTTTAATGCCTCACCTAAATGAATAAGTGCAATAATAATAATGTTATACATAAAGTGCTCTTTTTGTCCGCCGGTATTGTGCTCTAATGAAGAACTCGTCTTTAATTGATGTTTCATTTCGAAAGTTGCGAAGCAGATGGAAGACATTGCCTATCAACTCGTCACTTAAATTCAAATTCTGGTAACTTACGACATCTCTCTAAAGTCAAATAATTTTTCGTTCAATTGAAAGTATATATAGGAATAAAATTAAATGTCCAGTTACTGGAGCTATTACGATTTTTTAGAAAATCGCTATCAGGAGTTAATGGAAAAGAGTGTGACAAAATTACAAAATCTATTACACTCTCAATTTATAGTATCGCTAGTTTTGTCATTAAAAGTCCTAAACCCAATTGCTTAACTTTAGCCTGATAAGAAATTATTACATTGGTTATTCAAAATGATAAAGCTATTCGTACATACTCTGTTGGGAGAAGCCATGTCTTTGGAAAGATGCGATAGTCGCCCGGATACATTTTCAGCATACGGTTAAGGTTGCGGGACAACATATCCTTTCGGCAGATCTCGGACATGCCCGGAAAATGGTTTATCTGCTGAAAGCGTTTCATCGCCTTGAATAAATCAATATGCGGCGAGGCATCACACCATTGCACGTTCCATAGCCGGTGCTCGGGGACATGCTGGAAACCCATACTTTTACTTATTCTTCCAACGAGCGGAAACCGTGTGTGCTCCACACAAATGCTGAGCCGAGTGCCGCGAATACTCGGCGTCGCCAGTCCCGACATTTGCAGCTGTTGCTGCCGAGATGAGCTCAGAATATCGCAGAAAACAGCGTCCAGGCAGGGGTTAAGTTGCATGGCAGGCTGCGTGTAGTCCTCGGTAATGAGTATGTAATGATCGCTATTATCCTTGTCCGATTGATCTTTGCGCAGCTGCCGCCATGTGGGTCCATCGCTATTGGGGGCGCGTATCAAGCATGTGTTACTACATTGACCGCGCTTCTTACTGGGTTCCTTTGGAGAACTACGTCTATTTTGAGAGTTGGACAGCAAATATACACTCTCGCAACGGTATTGATTTGCCTGAAATCGTTCATGGGTATTTTGGGTACGTGGATTTATTAACCTTTCTAATTTTGAATTTTTTGCGGTAGTCATCTAAATGGTGGTGTTTTTAATTACACAATTAAATTTTTAGAATTTTTTATAAGAGTCGGGAAAACACTTTAAATTTTGACAGTAAATACAGTAAATAGATAGCTGAGAGTATTATTAACCCTCAAGGTGTACAACGACCGTCAATGGGTAGCATACAACATTTGTAACTGACAGTTCTGTGACATATGAGTACGTATGTAACCCGCCCTTTTTTCTCCTTTGCCATTAATATTCTCGAAAGATGAAAGAGTGTACTAAAAAATCAGAGTATATGTTATAGACATACCAATGACCAGCCCGAAGAGAGGAATAAATATAAACACGTCCTATCGTCCAATCTATGTACTTATTCAGCCCAATTTTATAACATAGGAACGATCGGTCCAAAATCCCACTTCGTGAATTAACTTTATATACCCTGTACCCGAAGGGTAAATATCATCCATTTCGAAGAATCGTACCATATTTGGTATTTATAAGGTTGGTGTGAAATAGATCTTGTATGTATATCATTGTATATCATTAAAGTAACTTCGGGGGTACCACAGGGTGGTCATTTATGTCCTTTACTGTATACTCTTTTTATAAACGACCTTCCTTCATCCTTAACCCGCTTTCGTGTCCTAATGCATGCCGATGACGTAAAACTTTGCTTTGTTGCGCTGTTTTTTAAAAATTTGCAGCCTGTTAAATTTAAATGATGGAAAATGTAAGTTGACGTTTCACCGATGCAAGCTTAATATTGTTTCAACTTTCCTTTGGAACGAATTTACACCGTTAAAGACTTAGTGTACTTTTTGATGCTAAGCCACCTTAGAATATTGTTGCAATGTCTGGTGCCCGCAATATGTAATACATAGAGATCGCATTCAATCTGTTCAAAAGCAATTTATCTTTTATTTACCACCGTATTCTCATCGGCTACAAGGACTTTCATCACTTACCACGTAGGATTTTATTAGGTGTTGTTTTTATACATAATTCAATTGTCGGTGAAATCGAGTCTTCAGTGCTTGTTATAACGCTGTACCCTCAACTATGATTTGCACAATTCGTTTCGGATTCTTTGTAACAATTATAATCAATTTAGCCAATCAATTGGCCATGATTAAATCAAACATACTTAATTTCCTAAGATCAGAGTAATATTGTTTTTGCTCTTTAAAATCTTGACTTTTTCGAATAATGATTGTATTCATATTTAATTTTAACCTCTGAAGAGGTGTATTTTGAATAAAATAAATCGGTTTGTCCAAAATCGTTTATTGAAAATCGTTGTAAAATATTGCTTTAAGTTCAAATTGAAAATTTTGAAATTTTATATTGCAGCTGCCTTGCTTCCTCCATTCATTGTCAAGCGTGTCGGATGACAACAATTTTAGCGGTTTCAACCAAAGTTGTGGCTACAGTAACACCTAGTTGTTGTCTTGGCCGACGCTACCATATACAAGGCACCACCGCGTCGAAACACTTATTCAAAGCATGACAGTCATGTTCACAAATATATCCACAAACGGATAAACTATCAGCTTGCCTCTCTATGAAGTCATGTCTAGTGTGGCTCATTAACCGCGGCTTAATCAAGTTTTAGGCTTTTGCGGTTATTAGTTCAGGCAGTCAATGTCGCAGGCGGTGCAAAACATCACCCACCAGTCTAATCATAATCATACTAACATACATACATATCTAGCTTGTCAGCCTCTAAACAACTGCGTCACAATTTTACACGCATGGCTAATTCAACGACTGCAGTGAATACTAGTATATAGTAGGCTCATGAGCGACACTTTGATTAAGATCGGGGTGCAGATCACGTTTTCAGCTGCATTTGGAGGCGGTGAATGCAATGGAGACTTTCCTCCGGCCCAGCACTTGCCACATGTAAATGTTTATGTACGTATGTGTACAGACGAGTATAGGAATATAGCTTTGTGTGATAGTCAATTGCGTTTGAGTATTGCACAGACTGATTGCTATAGTCGTATTAAATTACACATTTAGTTTGAGCTGCTTCTCTGGCCTCCCCATATTAAGCTTTTGGGGCGCGTCGCTTGACGCATTCAGCGTAGCGTGTAATTTGTCAAGTTTATTTGGTTGAGCGGCCCGCTTGGACCGTTTTGGGGTTAAGTGTGTTTCTGTGTACTTGCACATGTGTACGAGTATGCATCTTTAATTGGTTGCTTTTGTTGTTTCACTTCTTGTTGCTTCTGTTTCATGTTCGTATCTGCACTACCTCCAGCAGCTAATTATGCGCACTTTGTCTTTTCTTACAGCAAGTAGGTAAATAGAAAATGCTGAAAAGCCCTTTCAACTCTGGATTTGCTAAATAAGCTCAATGAACGAGTTGCTCCTACTGAAGAGCAGCGGGTGAGCAAATACCCGTGAGCAACACCAGTTAAGTGAGCATTGAACAAATCTGAAACCAAGCAAAATTGTGAGCAATGTGCTTAAAAAGGACATTAAATTTCTGAAATTAAAGATAAACAATACTGCTTGCTACTCACACAATTTCTGATGGAAAAATATATGGCACTATTTTTCAATATTCGTTATTTGTTATGCATCAGGAGATCTCAACTCTTAAATTCTAATAATGTTAATCAACAACAATAATTTGGCAATCACTCGGCAACAGATATGTGTTGATAAGTCTGAGAAATGTTCCTTGGGCAGCCAACCTATTTTTGCCATCAACCAACCCATTAGGTCAGGTATGACGACAATATGGCCAATATGCATATTCATGAGAAAACTCGTTCTTTCGGTGCAAAATTTTATCACGATAGCTCTAAAATTTTTTGGAGTCATGGCCTTAACATATGTACATACATACATATAACATGTGGGGTGCAAAGCTATCGCATGGGTACTGCCAACTTATACACGGAACACAATATACCCTTACATTTTTTAGTGAAGGGTATACAAATTTATGCGCGCTCTAATGCAAAATTAAACAAATCTACCAAAATCCTCACATTTTTGGTTAAACACAAGTGTTTGGGCGAAGAGGACAAAAAGGGTTCGTAAACTTAGGCCAAGCAGATCATGATGAAAACCTTTATGAGCATAAATTACAATGTTGCCGGCATTCATATACATACCCCATCCACTCGACACCCACACACACACACATTGCATACGAACTTTCAAAAAAGTGTGTAAGGCTTTGTTTGTGCTTAAGCCAAAACGGCAGTTCCCAAATCTACTTTTTATGGAACTTCGCCAGCGTTCAGTTACAAGCGAACGCCACGTACCTTTAACGAAGCGCACATTAAAAATTAATCTTTTAATTACTGGCAGGCAGCCATTGTGCAACAACAAGACGCGGGCTCCTATTGTTACGACAACAACCTTACCAGCGAGAGACAGTTCCGTCACCAACCCTGCAAATGTACATACATAGGAACGGATTCGCTTCCAAAAGTTTGCTAACTTTTGGAAACCTAACTTTTGATTATTTGATTTGTTTATTGTTCCCTTTGGTTTTATGTCTTTATGTAGATACTTAGTTATATCGTATTCATATGTTCATGAAGTCACTGGTAAATTTCAAATATTATGCCCATCATTTTTTAAGTTGTAGAGACATAAAATAATTGTATGGGAATACTTGGATATGTCTGTCTATCCGCCCATCCAACCACAATAACACTGATACATTTTTATACTCTGTACATGAAATGTACAGAAGTATATTAGGTTTGCGGGAGCTGAAAAATGTAACAGGCAGAAGGAGGCGTGGCAGACCCCAAAAAGTATATATATTCTTGATCAGCATGACGAGACGAGTCGATCTAGCCCTGTCTGTCTGTCTGTCCGTCTGTCCGTCCGTATGAACCCCTGGATCTCAGAGACTATAAGAGATAGAGACACCAAATTTTGCACAAAGATGCGTTATGTGTGTATTGTTTTATTTTTTTGATTTTCCCCCCCACTTCCCCCTATGGGGGTTTTCCCGATTTTCCATTCGTATAATCGCCTATATCTCGGAGACTATAAGACCTAGGAACACCAAATTTTAGTCCCAGATGCCTTATGTGAATACGCAGAAAAATATATTTTGGAATTTCCCTCCATCCCCCCTCTACTCCCGTAATTCTTGGAATTTCTAACTAAAATTTTGGAAATACCCCCAGTTAGTTATTATGTGTCCGTGTGCCAAGTTTCACTATGATAGACCGATTTAACGAGAAGTTATAGCCATAAATATATTTGCTGCTGCAGCGCTGCCCTGTTGTTGATGCTGGTACTTTGATTGACTGCACACATGTTTACACAGACACGAATAGATGCGCATAGGCATATGTAGCATACACTCACACAGACGCAATTGTAAATGTAAATGTGCAATTATAAACCCTTTACGTGAGTTCGAATACCGAGAGAAGCAAAATCGATCAAATTTTTTTTTTTTATTTTCTTAATTTTTTTTATTTTCTATATTTTAAAGTCGGGACACCCGACTTTAGCTTTTTTACTTGTTTAAAACCATTCCGAGGTATTAATAAAGAAACATGGCAATACGATTTTTGAAGTTGAGCTCTACAGTATCGTAAAGTTGTAGACCAATAGCAGTATTACGCGTTAATACAAAAGAGTGAGTCCCAAAAATAAACATATCCTCTAATATTGCGTGCGGGATATGCGGTCCTCTTAATACTTGTAGTTAACTTAAAGTGTAAAGGGTGTGAATATAAAAGGATCAATCGGTAGTGCTTCTGTTTTTTTAAGATTGCAAGAATTTGTGCAATTTTCTCAAAATTTAAAACATAAATATATAATACAGTTACTTACTTAGGTAAATCTCTTAAATTTTTTACTCAAGCCTACGTTCTTATTTATATAGCTCAATATTTTATGCCCACTAAAATGTTTCCGCAGGTATCGAAATCTTGAAACAAATGGCTTCACTCTGTCGTTGCCAAGAGACACTAACTGTAAAGACTTGGTCATTGCATTTGTTTGTTTTCTTTCAACCGTACGCTCGTACTGCACACACTGA